TCCATGTTTCACCAGACAAGCTCCTATCTCTCTGTTACCTGGCATCATAGACAACAGCATCCTACTCTCCTCAGGGGGAAGGCCAGGTTGGATGGAGCATTGAGCAACCTGGGCTAATGGGAGTGTCCCTGCCCATGGCAGGGGGATTGGAACTAGATAATTTTTAAAGTCCCTTCATAGAACCATTATGATTCTATGATTATAAGGTCTCTGCTTCTGGGTGCTGGTTGGCAGCAGCAGTACCTGGATATTAAGCTCAAGCATGGTCGGAGACAGCTGTGGTAGCTTTGCATTGTGGAAGAATGCAAAGGTGGGTTTACAAATTATTAAGGAATGGACTGAACATAGAACCTTCTGGGAATGAAGGCTGGTGAAGAGATGGAGGTTTATCTGGGCACACATTTATACAGAGTAGAGTGAAATTAATCTTCATTAATTTAGACCAGTGCCTAATCCCAGAGTTACTGTTTCATAATTGCGCTTCAAGAGCTTCTACTTATATGTGATATGAGTTCCTTAAGATCAGACAGGTGTTCTTTGTTAGTTAAAGTGTTTTCTTTTCTTTGCACTTAATTATCAGGGAATTTGAAGCAGACATTTGTTGTATTTAGGTCTGGTTAGCCAATTTCCTGTAAACTGGCATTCCCTGAATGCCAGAGGTTTAATTTCATTCCCTGAGTGCCAGATGTTCATTAATAGAAGATGATATGAACGAACCACCAAAGAAAGCTTCATTGTTCAGACTTTACTAATGGCTTAATTTATGATTACCTGGTGGACACTGTGATGGCACAGTTTACCACACACTGCTTTCCATGTTCAACAGTGTCTTTCACGGAAACACTGCTAATAACAATGTTGAACAGCACAGAAAAGACAAAGCCAACTGCAGTCTGTAAGGTGATTCATTCAAATGCTTACCATAGCTGCTTCCAATTATATAAATTTTTTCTTAATTTAATGATCTTTGCCCCAGGATTTGAACCAGCTATTGTAAAACTTGTTTAGTTTTGTCTGGTTGGTTTTTTGGTGTGCTTGATTTTTTTTTGTTGTTGTTGTTGTTGTTTTTTAGTTGGTTGGTTGGTGTTTGTTTTTCAATTTTTTCTTAGCATGTGACACAGTGCCCTTTAACAAGCAGACAGGGGAAAGAATTCCCAGAAAAGAAAGTGGAAGCAAAGATAACGATCATTTCATGGGACCACCATGTTAGATTTGTATGTGAGCTCAGCAGCAAGCCCCCAACTTTCTGGGGCTGAAAAGAATGACTCACCACAAGAGTCATAGGAAGACTACTCCTATAGAAGTCCTATTACACCATGACCACACTTCAGTAACTACTTACCATGTTTCTCTCCCGTTCCCTATAAACCCCTCACCCAAGGAAAGCTCCCACTAAGGAAAATTCAACTGCAGTCTGTCTCTGTGCAGTTTAGATCTCGCTCCCTCCCTTCCAACACTAGCTTAAACCCAAGATGGAAAGGTACTGCAAGTCTGACTGTAAGACATCACTAAACATGTTAATATACATATTACTATTACATGTTACTTTGCAATATGGAAAGTCATTATATACAGAAATTCAAATTTTGGCCACAGTCTCAGCCATTAATGATGCCAAAAGTCCCTTTCCAATAGGAGCCTTATACCTCACACCTTGGACCAAAGCTTGCTTAAAAGCCCATCATTTTTAAGCAAAAATTCCCTCTCTACAGGATATGAGACGGTCCTGGACTATTTTTAACCCACATACTACAGTCCTATGGTAAAGTAGTCTTATACCCCTAACCCCACTGCCCTGCTTCCCAGCCTTCCAGAAATACCTCCTGGACTATTCTCTAAAACCCTCCTCCCGTTAAGCCCCGATTGAAACTTTCCTGGGTTTGCTGTCTGCATTGTAACACACTTGTTACAAACTTCACAATGCTGCTTGTAGAAGAGCTCTGTAACCGCCCTGTGGTTACCCTTCAGAGCCTATCAGTAGCAGAATGCATTGGACAGCCATGACTTAAGTACATCGCATGAGAGATCCACAAATGTCAGAGTGGAGAGAGAAACATGGCTTTTCCTCTTGCAAGAATTTTTAATTTTTTTTTTACATTCAAATAAAGTAATGGGAATCCTGAACTGTTTTGTGATTTGCAAAATTTTTGAATTATGTTAGTTTATATTTTGATAATGGTAAAGCATGTCATTTCACATTTGGGCTTCTAGTTTTAGAACTAAATTGGTATTTAAAAAACGTCTTTCTGAACCACTGTCTCGTAAAAAATGAAACTAGTATATTCTAACAACTTCAAAACAAGAAAATTCAAATTAAATAAAAAAGCTGACAAAAGATTACTTTTGTTCTCTGGAAAAAAGCTTTCAATTTCAACAAATTGTAATTTTTCCATAGAAAAGTGTGTCCCTTGCTAACTCAACTGACGTTGCATTGTGTACTTCCAGGTGTGACTTTTTCCCTTGATTTCTATAGTTGTTTGGAAGGCAGAGACTACTTATTCTGAAGTCTACAACTCAACCTGAAAAGAAAAAACAAGGATGTCACTACAATAATAGGATGTGAAGGAGTCTTGTCTAGCATATGGACCATCCATTTTGTTTTTTTTTTTACTTGCTACGTTTTGAGAGAAAGTGGAGGTTGGTATGTTAATGCTTTGTGAGAATGGTCCTCAGCTCAAACACTCTTGTCTCATCCAAGACACTCTTCCCCAAACACGAAGTCTAATCCTCAGGGGCAATTAGAATGTAGAATTTCAGCTCTGTAGGTTTCCAGGAAAATAAAACTGAGAGAAACAACACCACCTTCAAATCTACAAGTCCATGGGACTGAGCAGAAGCTGAAGCTAAAAATAAACAAATCCCTGGAGGTTGGGCACTCTCCACACAAGTCTGCCCAACTCAGCAACTGGTTACCTATACTTGACTTCTGCAACTACAAGTTAACACACGCACATATTTCCTCTCTGATAAAAAACAGAGGCGTATGCCCCTGGCTGTCTGAATGGAAGTAGCTCTGTTCAGAAGTCACAGCCTATTCTAAATTTAAACAAAAATTGAGGCCAAACACTGGCTGTAGCATGTTTTTACTAATGCCAGAAAAACCTGTGGAAAGACAAGAAGGGAGTCTTGTCTTTCATCTCCCTGCAGGATTCATGAAAATTTGTTCATTATAATCCTCTAGGACAAAAGACATAGTGAAATAGGTATGTGTGTTGCTACAGTTAAAGCACAATATGCAGTCACACTTGATTTGGATTATTTGTGTTCCTACAGCTAAGAACCCTTGATGGTAGAGCCAATGCTTCTGGTTAACTAATGCGAGTGGAAGGTGGAGGAGAGGGAACATGAGAAGAGTCTGTGAAAAACAAGGGGGTATGTGTCGTAACTTGTCTGTGAAGGACTCCCAGTTATAACATAGCTGACAGAGCTTGTCATTCAGGTAGGTGCTTTTCTGCCTCCTCCTTTTCAAATCCAATGTGTACCTCTTATTTCAGTAATTCCTTTGCTATTATATTATAAAATATCACCTGAAACCAATATCTTGCTAGAATGATGGTCAGACATGGGTTGGCAAAAGTGCTGTGAAATCTTCAGTAGTTTCACCCTTGATTTCACCAATAGAAAGTTTGCCATCAATCTGCTGAAAAGTAGGACCAGGCCCATGCTTATGTGTCATTACAAGTGCTCTGAAAGGTGGTGCTAACAAGGTTAATGTACATATCAACACAGTGAATACACATGTCAGCAAGGTGTTTGCACACATGCATTGCTGCATGCACTGTTTTAGAGACTGGCTTGCACATATTCCCTATGTGTTACACATGTGCAGGACCACAGGCCAAATTATTCCACAATCAAAATGCCTTCTGCAAGTAGACTGAAGCAAAGAGTAAGGAACAAAATTGTTCCTTATTTGATTTACAATTAGAAGGACCACATACCCACAGAATTCTACAATTCTGTGACACAGAAGTTTTTGAATAGTAAATAGAGATTTAGGGCTAAAAGCTGCAAACAAAGACTGTTTTCTAAATTATTACAGAAACAAAAAGAATGTCAGCATTTTAACTGGAGAACAGGGACCTTTTGTTAAAGGAATTCATGGGAATAAAAACAATGGTGCTTTATAAAACATTGGTATCATATTTAGTTTCCCAGCCAAACTGAAAACATTAACCACATTCACTTTTTTATGATGCCTAATTGAGAAAAAAATCAACATATGTTTGTTTTATTCAGCGTAAGGAAGCACAAACTGAAATTCTTAGTGAAACACATGGAAAAGAATGATATCTTGGATTTATTTTGATAAAAAACTTTTGTAAAAGTTTCCTTTCACAAAACAAATAAAATATGCTAACTATTTCAGCAGTGAAAAGCTGAAAAGGAGAGTTACGTAGCAGTAAAGGGAAAACAATGCAATTTTATCATTACACCAGCCGATATCAAACTGCATGGATGTTCACAGCATCAGAATTAAATTGATAAAATGAAGTATGTGTATGATCAGCGTCAGCAATGCTCCTCGCTCTTTCTTTCAAAGATACTCTGTAATTTGAATGGTGATTTGTTAATAGTCTGAGTCCCTGAAAACTAAAGAGAAGACAATTCTATAATGTTGCAATCATTTTGCACTTAGGTGTGAGAAAAGGCTAAAGCAGCATGCTATGAAAATGTATTTGTTGTTACAGGAATTTGAAGGGCATAAGGAGATAATTGGGCATCTCAGTCAATGGGCAGGTAAATGAGCTGAGCTCCTCAAGAGAAATGTTTCAGGGACTTCAAAAAATTCACTTCCCTGGAAGTGTTCAAGGCCAGGTTGGACTGGGCTTTGAGCAATCTGCTCTAGTCAGCATAGGGCAGCACTGAACTGTATATTTGAGGCTCTTATGCCATGGTCCAGAATTGTAGTCACTTTCACAACTAAGTAGCAGAAAAACAAGGGAAAGTGTGATCAGTACCATAAAATAAACACTTCAATGAGAAGTACTGTGGGCATTTATTTTAATGTTGCATACACAAAGAGTGCATGACCGCATCTCATTCAAGTCTCACTCAAGAGACATTACATTCAGGTAAGGTTATTCCAATCTAAGCCAGTCACTCAGCCAAAGTAATTTTCAACCTTACAGATCCATCCAGTCCTTTTCACAAGTTAAATCTTCCTAACAGTTCTGACCTGCCAAGAAAATGGATTGAGCTACATACATACAGCGCAGCCCTTTGCGGGAAGGAATCACTTCTTATCTAGGATGAGATTACCCTCCTCATCTTTGATTTGAACTCGTCCAGTGGAGTACTCGGTTTCCCGTCTGCCGTTGCAGTACACAGTTTTCACGGTGCCATCTGTGTACTCCCGCCTCTTGAATTGTGCAGTGTGAATCTCCTTCTGGCCATTACTGAATATCACTATTTTATCTCCATTCCTGAAAGAAATAGCAATGAATGCAGTGATGAGAAGGCACTGTCTGTTATTAACCTGTCTCACTTAGCTGTCTAATGTGACTCAATGGAAGTGGAAAATAATGTCAGAATTAACACGGGATGGCATTAGAGATCTTATCTCACAAAAAGATTTCAATACATAGTATAATAGCTAATGGAGATCTGCGTTTTACATAACTTCATGCAAGGATCTCAAGGCTTTTTGCAGGCAGAAAATCTATTTTACAACAGGAACTTTTAGAAGCCCGGAAGAGGCAGAAATAAGAGATTCCTGTTGTTGTTTTTCTCGTTTTGCATGGGGGAATAGAGAGATAATACGTGAAATGCCTTGCCTAAGATTAGAAAGGGAGCCAAACAGGTAGGAATACTGCTCAGGAGCCCTCACCCTGAGTCCTTTAGCACCCACATTTTTAACACAGACAACTGGTGATCTCCCAGCAATTCTGGCCAGTGTAAAGTTACAAGGAACCAAATGAGGAATATTTCACAGTCACTTTGCCAGTGACAAATGATCATCTATCACTCAAGTTGGAAGTGAACAGTTTTCAGTGCTACATTGCAGCAAAACCTTGCTATCTTAAAAACCCTTTTTCCCTTCATCTGGAAATTTCCTAGCTATGCAAAACCCAGCCACAGTTCTAAATGTCAATATCATTGTACATGTGTCCATTGCTTGGTTCCTGTCATTTATACAAGACTTACTTTTCTACTTTTACTACTGTGCCATCTGGGAAAAGTTTCCTTCAGTCCATCACTATAGAGGCACTTCACTGTGTGATCTGGGAACACAATTTCTTGTGTGCCATTGGGATAATGTTTTTCTGTGGAAAAGAAGATGTAAGAAGTCTATCTAATATTCTTAATGTTTCTTTATACAGAGCTAAGTCAGGATTTTTTTGGACATCGCAGTGAGGATGGAAACTATATGCAGAGTACAGCTAAAGAAATTAAAGAATCACATAATCAGATAATCAAAATTAGAAGAGTTACATTTATATTCCATTATTATATTTGCTTTGTAGGAGCAAACTGAGCATTGAAGTGATGGAATATACTGGAAGTGAAATGCAAAGACAATGTTAAATGGCAAGAAAATCCTTAATCTGTTGGAGTCAGAACGAAGACCACACTTTCATAATAGAAATAAATCTGCACATACTGTTCATGCTTATGAGCTCTTGCATACCTATCTGATTATTAGGGAACTGCAGCACCTTCAGGCCATCTGGATAAGCAGTGTGGGTTGTCTGTGCATCTGCATAATAATAAATCTGGAAGGAGAGTGAAGTGTTAGCAGCATGTTCACAACATTTGCATAAGCAGATTCAACCATAACAATGTGCTTAAAAGTAAGCCATCTTTAAAAAGTCATTTCAAGGTCGTTTTCTGCATCTGTCATCCATAAAAGTAGCTATGTTTACACTGCCGTTCCTTCCTCTCATTCACTCTCCTCCTCATGGCTGTGTCTAGATGACACTACTTTCATCTCTGTAGCATACAGAAGAAGAGTGTGTAAATGAACATCATCCTCCCATCTCTTTGCTTTGGATCTCATCCATGAACTATTAATTTAAAATAGCCCTACTGCTACTAAGGCCTCACTTATTTCCACTCTAGCTCACATAATTATTAACTACTTATATTTATATAATGCCGGGAGGAATTAGCTGCTCTACAAATGGATAAAAACAAGTCCTTGCTTCAGACGGCTGCTTCTGCCCCTTGCCTTGTTCAGTCTCCTGCTTGGCCAACCACATATTTTTTCCTTCTTTGACTGTTACCTTCATGCCTTTCCACTTTTGTCCTTGCAGATGAAGAAGTTTCACTGTTCAGGGTTGTTAAACCAACACCCTTCCTTATCAATTTCTCTCAGAATTAATAGATCAAGATAAATGATAGGACCCTTTTGGAAAATCAATTAATCATTTTATTTTCCATAAAGAAAAAAAAGTTACACACCACTCTCTGATCTGGCATGATCTTCTTCACATCTCCATTGGAAAAGCTAATCGTTGTTGTCCTTCTATCAACACTAATCTCTTTTTTAGTACCATTGCGGAAAGTGAGGATTCGGCGTCCATCAGTAAGCACCTCTTCTACCTTCAAACACATAGAGCATCTAATTGAAGTCAAAGGAAATGAGCAACATTGCACTGCCTTCCAATTAAACTGGAGCTTGAAGTAAGTCATTCTATGCCTTTGTATTTCAGAAGTTATCACTGCAGAACAGGTCTTATTTTCTTTTTCATTTGTGTACAAAGGAGGCCAAAAGAAATTTTCTTTTCACAAGATGAACTTACTTGTATCACATATCCCAAATTCTCACCCTATCACCTTGTTTTTCTGTTAAGGGAGGTAAGGTACACAGCCCTGTGGCAATAGGGATGCCAGTCAGGTTTTTCCTTGACCAACTTCAATGAATTATTGTCTGGACTCATTTCATATATGCTTGTACATCTTCCACACAGGTCAGTTGAGAGACCCTGCTTCTGGATTATGTGAGCCAAAATGATTGAATTGATGTATTAACACAGAGTGCTGACATGATAGGTTAACAGTCATTGTTTTCCAAACAATCCTATATGGACATTCAGTACTACCGAATTAATTGTGGCTGCATGCAGAAACCTGAAAAATTGCTCAAAACTTCTTAACAGCAGACAATAATACCATCAGTGTGCTCTTCTACAAACAATACACTGCTCAGAGAAGACTTCATACCTAGCACAGCCTCTGGCTAATCAATTTTCCTGGTATTACTATGGCAGTTGATTCTGTTCACCATATATCAAACCCCACAAAATAATTAATTTGAAGTCCAAAAAAGAAGACAACCAGAAGATGCAATATAGCTTTACCATTTAGTTCCAACAATTAGAATATCCACAAAAAGGGAATGCCTCCCAATTGAAAAAAAACCAAACTATTTTCTCTCACCTTTCCATCACAATACTCTATTTTTTCCTGCACCTCTTCCTCACTCTTTCTTCTTTCTTGATGCAACATTGACCTTCTAGATAATATTGATTTTGGAGGCTATGTTATGAAAACATCACAGTCAGTGTTATATAAACATAAATGTTTTCAAAATATTTTCATTAATTTTAATCAACAGTGCAAACCCCATATTTACTTTCACACATGCAGAGGAAAGATGCCCTTCTTTCAGATATTGCCTTGCATTTGCAATGAATTTTTGTGTTTTAGTTGTAACTAGAAATGTTGCACATTAACTCAAATTATCTTCAGTTTGCAAAGCTAAAGGTGGCAAAAAGGAAGTCCAAAAATGAAGTGACAAGAGTGCATTCTGGCAAAATTACACTGTACAAAATGGAGAAAATAAACACAAGAACAGAGAGGAGAACTATCTCTGAATATTGGGTTACTGATTTACGAAGAAAGGTACCTATATTAGCTAGAGTGACTCTTCCGAGACAAATTACATGGCCTTTAGCTCTTAGGTAATGCTATCTATGTAACTAAGGGCTATTCCGGATGTTGCAATTCCAATTTACCATTGCCATGAGTGCTCTTTGCAGTCTGGCAGCATAAAGGAGTCTTAAGTTAATTGACATCTGGCACATAGCATCTAGGGCAGTTACTAGATGATGTTAATTACTTTTGAAGATGTGGTGAAATTTTGAATTACGGGATCCAAAGGAACAGGGAGTACTGCTCCCCACAGGGCAATGATATGCTTCAGTAAATGGCTATAAACACTGTGCTCAAAGTTGTCAGATACATCCCTAATGCTCTGTCCACTGCATAGCCTAGAAAGTGGGAATGGAGTGTTTTCCTTTTCTTGGGGTTTTTTATTTCTGTTCACAAATGGAAAGAAGGCAGTTGCTGATCGTGTAAGAACCAGAATCATAAGTAGCTCAAACCTTTGCTTCAGCATCCAGAAGAGCACAACTGTCTGTAAACACTTTGTTGTCATCTGCAATTATGCCACTTCTCCTGTGTGTGGTCACTAAAGTCACTTTATTCTGAGGTTTTAGCAGCTTTTCTGTCTTTTTGAGAGCTTATTCTTCCAGATACAAAATTAAAATGGTAACTAACAACATAAATCTATTAATATTCAACAGTTGTGCAGGACTATATTGATAAAGAAATCTAATCTATTATTTGAAAGCCATTACAATATTGTTTTAAAGACTGTACTTATATCATGAGTAGATGAAAGAAAATAAAGCCAGGAGAGTATTGGAAGTTAGCATGCTGTATATGAAAACTAAGACCACAGACTAACTGAAATTCTACCTTATAGAGTTACATGGTGAAATACCCCTCTTTCTTCATTGTTATTGCAGGGTACAAAGCTGCAAGTGTCATTGCTATGGTTATGTGAGAGGGACATGTCTTCTGAGCTATCTGAAATTGGCAAAGGCATGCCTGTAAGAAAAAGCAAAGTAAAAGGGGTCAGTGAAAGCATATGCAAATTGCTGAATCATGTTTCCATACCTATCTCAGTTTTTTTGAAGATGTCTCAGAGTCTGGCAACACATTGCTTCTTACACTGATAATGTTTGCTAACATCTTTCCATCCTTCCAAAGGTGCTTTTTCCTGGACCAAAATGAAGTGCAGTCCACATCCATTCTCCTGCCTTTAAACTTCCAGGTCAACAGTAAGTAAGCAGGCGAGAGCACAATCTGCTCTCCCTCTCTTGTAAAATACAAATTTGATAATTCTTCTAAGAATAATAGGAGTGTTTTAGTGATAACATCCTCTGCAAGTCAAGAGTTAAAGACCAGTGCCTCCAAGTCATTTTCAGACCATTTTAAGCAGGCAGAAAGTTTCCACATATCTTACCTTCCATACAGGAAGATGACTTAGGCTCCTTGAAAAGACCAGTTACATGTGAGACAGCTCCAGGTGATTTTCTACCATCTGTTTTTCCTCCAGTAGGAGAGGGCTGATGTACAACTTGAAGAAAAATGGAGAGGGCCTGGCCTACAGTCATGCTTCACTGTAAAATGGGAGTTGTCACTGACATGGCCAGAGTGCACTTCCCCTTCCTAGGAGTTTAGCTGTCTGTGTTTGGGTATTGTGCATGGGTCTAACCTTAGTTCAGACTATCGTGGAGAAAGGAAAGTGGAAGAACTGGAAGAAGTGTCAGACAAGGCCATGCCCACCACCCTGCCCACTGCTTCCCATCTCTTGGAAACTTCACTTCATTTGGTCCGTGTTGGTTTGCATTGCAGTTGTCTGTACCTGGCCATGCACCTCATTGATCCAAATCCCAGTCCTGACCCACAGGATGAATTCCTACCATGACCCCAGACCTGTCTCATCATTATAGGCTTTGACAATGGGGATTTTGGTCTAACCCTCACTTCCATTCCCAGCCTGCCCTCCTTCCTGTCTGCGTCTGTGGGATGGGCACTGCCCTGCTGGACGCTATGAGCTGCCCCTGATGGTCCAAGCCCCTGGCCTTCCTGGGAGCCACTGGCCTATACAATGCCCCAATGCTTGGTGTGTGTGATCAACTCTGAACTTTTTCTGAGGCAAGAGGGGCAGGTTTCAAAGCATTCACCCACACTCTGGCCTGCAGATATCTGAATAGCTCAATCTATGAACAGTCTCTAAGATAATTTCTGACAAACTTTCAGTTCCAGGGAAAGAAGACCAAGCAGGAGTTGTGTGGGGATCGGGGTGTGGATATAGCTTCTGAACAATTCTATAAAAAGCAAATAAAGGCAGTTTAAATAGGCCTTACTATTGACTTACTTTTTCTGGTTCTAAAGGTGTCAGTCTTCCCTAAGTGTTCTCCTGCCAGTTGGTGTGCTTCTATCAATGGAGCAGTTAGATGGTTTCTTTTCTTGATGTTCATTTGTCACTGATCTCAAAGAATGAGCTCTTTGCACAGAGCTATCTGTTGCCTAAAACATTTGAATACGTTTTTATTAAGTTAATATAGACGTCTTCAAATAGCATTAAAAATCCTTCTACAACAGGTGCATCACTAAGCAGTTAAAACTTTAGGAAAATATTTATTTGTGTATGTGGGCATACCCACAGACACACACACACACACACGTTTTATACATAACTCTGTCTTGGGGTCTTATTTTGCTTTGCACTGTGGAATAATGGATAGGGTTAAAAGTTAAAGGAGAATAAGAATTACAGAGGAGAACCAGCTGCTGCTTCCTGGATGATGGTCACAATGCCCCACAAAGGTTCCCCAAACACTGATAAACACATGGTTCGGAGAATACAGTGGAGAGGGGAGTGATGTGAAGGCACTGTGGTCTCCCTCCACAAACATCCTGCAGGAAGTGGAACATGGTGATACTTCGACCATGACATATCTGTCTACCAAGGAAGAGAGATGCCAAGGACAACTACCTAGTTGAGGACCTATGACTAGATTCACTCAAACTCCACCTAAACCTAAAGAAATAGTATAAAGGAAGTTGGAAATGGGGAGAAATCAGAGAAAGATTTCCACTGAAACTGCTGGGATCAGCTGAGAAGTCAAATCTGTCTTCCCTCCCCCCTGTTCAGGGATGCCTGTCGGGTGAGAAACTATTCTATGTGTGCTGACTGTTGCTTTTAAGGACTAGAGCTCACTTTTGCTCCATAATATATTGTTTTATATTAGAGTTTGTTCTTGTGCTTGCTGTATAGTATTATTAGATTGCTTTAAATATATTTTTGCAGAGAGACCCTATCACTGATGACCATGAACCTTATTAACTTGTCACAGTTTGTATCAATAAAGAGTGTTATTCCATAAACTGTTAGAGTGAGTCCTTTATAAGGTACTGACAGTTTGCTAGCAGCAGAATAACATGTGGGAAGACCTGCTGAGGGGTTCTCCCTTACACTGTTATATGGCAGTCTCCGAAAAAGGGCAATCAAATTACCCTGATCTTGTGAATCTGTTTGTTGAAACGTTCCCGTGCGGGGTACCTGACAGACTGGGTGAAACATATATGGTTTCATTTTCCCTGGGGCACTAAGAGACAAATAAATCTCAGTGGGCTGAGAAAATCTCCCGACTCTAGAAGTCAGGCATATCCCCCCCTTTTCATGTGACATTCACATTTCTCTGTACTGGGATAATGATGCAAGTCAAGGGTAATCCAAGGCTCACAGTGTGAGGCCAGCAGCTGCTGTCAAGCTCTCATCCGTCAGTCCCAATCACCCTGCCAACAGCAGGAAAGATAACCCTCTCTGGGATATCACAACTGAGCTGAGCCTAGTAAAATATATTGCGTGACAGTTCATTTTTACTTGCCAGATGTCCACCCTTTTTACATTTTGATCTCATACATCTCCATCTATCAGGGCTGACACATGTCTTGTAGAACCCTAAGAGGGGTGTGAGCCACAGAAGGGAAATGAGATGCAAACAGTTTCAAAGAAACTATAGCAGTTATTTAGACTGGAAAGATCACAGGTACTCAAAAGCACTTCCCCAATTTTTCATGGAGACCTTAGATCAGAGCACAGAGGAAACAGAAAATATTCTTGCATGACCACCATGATATGCAAGGGATTAACACAGAGCCTCTCAGGGGTTTGAAGATGCAAAGAAAACTTTATGTTGGTATGACAGGAAAACTGAGGCTGTGCTCTTGCCTAGCCGAAACTTTGAAGGTCACTCATCTCACTCACGTAGATTTAATTAGAGAAACTTAGAAATGCCTGGCAATACAAGACAAAGACGCAGACAGAGTCTCACAGCTCACATTGCTAAGTTGTCCCAGAAATGGCAAGGGATATCTCTCTGTCTGTCAGAACCGATAGCAGAAGAAGCTCTAATGCATTGAGCTGGTGAATAACTGGGAGCATACAATGCACGTGATGGTAAGAAACAAAGAAACAATAAAAAAAGTTGGAAGTGGTACCAGATAACTCTGATTTTGAAATGTTTCAGACACTGAAGAGTGCCTGCTTGAGAAGGTTTTGTAAGATCTTCATAGAAAGGATATATTTGCCATCAGCTTCTGTGATGGTTTCAGTCTAGGCCTTCCTGGAAACCAGCTTGTAACCAGGAAGGAACTAGGAAGGTGACCAAGGAAGTATTCCATGCTATTCCTTTACGTAACCTGGGGTATAAATAAGGCATTGATAAGAGAGTTCACTCTCTTCTCTTCCGGCGAGGTTGGAGAATGGTGGTCCCTGTTTTGGTCTGGCTTATCCGGAGCTGAGGCCTACAGTGACTGCTGTTGTCGGCCACGTGTGAGGGGGGAGTGCTGGGCCGCGTCCAGACGTCCTGCTTTCTTTTAAGGGAAGTGGTGAGCTCTTGCCAATTCTGGTTACCGGGTTTTTAGATTGTGTAGATCTGTTTTATTTTTGTCCCTTTTCACCCTATTTTATCCTTTTCCCTTCTCCCTTCCCCCTCTTCCCTTCGGGAAGCTATTTGGGGTCATAGATTCATATATATAATTCTCATTGCATATCTCTGTTTTATACGTAAATATATATATTTTTGCTAGACCTTTGGTTGCTTGGTTTTTTTTTCCCTTCCCTCTCTGGGAAGGAGACTCTGTTGTCAAGTTTCGGAGACTTGGCAGGAAGCCAGCTCCAAACTTGCACAGCTTCATTTATTGAAGTCCATGAGCTATTGCTCAAAGGACATAGGGTAAGCAAAGCACATATGGGAAGACTGAACTGGTCCTTCTCTGATAACATTGGCCATTGTTTGACAG